CAAAGGCAAATAAAAAATCCAGACCAAGAAGAATGGTGTCTTTATTTGAGGCTTGACATGTTTTATTCTTTCAACACAACAGTCAAACATAGAAGCACTGAGAAATAGATGACCTGCACACAGACGTGTGGATGTGCTGCATACAGTATTGCGTGGAACAGAAGAAGTAGACGCCCGTCTTCATCCGGCCATGATGTGTTTGACGAAGTCCGTGTAGTTAACGTGCCCGTTGGCGTCCTCCTGCCCGGCCATGAGCCGGTCCACCTCGTCTTCTGTCATCTTCTCCCCAAGGGTGGACAGGACGTGACGGAGCTCGGCGCCCATGACGGTGCCGTTGCCCTCCTTGTCAAACACCCGAAGACCCTCCACAAAGTCTTCAAAGTGACCGTGGTCTTTGGCACGAGCCACATGCTGCAGCATAGGCAGGAAGGAGTCGAAGTCGATCAGCTTCGCATGCATCTCCTCGGCTTTGGGCCGGCCCAGCAGCTTCAGGACGTCGTCGTTGGTCGGGTTGTGGCCAAGCGCCCGCATCACGTCTCCACATTGCGCGTACGTGATTTTCATCTCGCCCGTCGGCGTCTCGTCAAACAACGTGAACGCGTCGCGGAACTCCTCCATCTGCTCAGCACTGAACTCCACCACCACGCTCTTCAGGTCCACCTCGCACGCTTTGGTCTCGGGTTCCGGAGCTTTGGGTGGCGGCGCAGCGCTCTCATCCTTCTTGGGCTCTGCTACCTTCTTGGCCTCTGCGGGCTTCTTGGCTTCCACTTTCTTGGGGGCCATGTTGGCAAGTGGCGGGCGAGTGGCGGACAAGGGATGTGCAATGTTCTTATAGGCTGTGTCTGGCCAACCGCGATGACCAAAGATGGAATGGAAACACTCTACCGAGATAATGTGTGACCCTTGAAGACCTTAAAGCTGATAAACATGTGCCCACACACACTAACAGACAAATGCATTAACCTTTAAATAAGTGTGCGTGCGCGTGTGTGTGTGTTTGTGTGTGTTTGTGTGTGTG